TTCCTGGACCGTCCACGGGCCGGATTGAGAAGGCGATTGGGCCGCATCCGGCCCCCGGACCTTAGGCTGCCTACCCCTGGTGTAGGCTAACGACTCACCCAATGTTGCATGATGAGCTTTAAGACTGAACCAGAGTCCACCACTCTTGTACAGTGGTACCTCGGGTTAAGAACTTAATTCGTTTTGGAGGTCCATTCTTAACCTGAAACAGTTCTAAACCTGAGGTACCACTTTAGCTAATGGGGCCTCCCGCTACTGCTGCACCGCCGCCACGTGATTTCTGTTCTCATCCTGAAACAAAGTTCTTAACCCGAGGTACTATTTCTGGGTTAGCGGAGTCTGTAACCTGAAGCGTCTGTAACCTGATGCATCTGTAACCTGAGGTACCACTGTATACTGGTTCTCCAAGACAACCACTTTGATTCCTGATCAGACCACTGCACTCAGTTGTAGAAATTAGTGGTTTGCCATTTCCCAAGGTTGTGGGAGGATGGACGGGGGCCTTGTTGGTTTCAAAAACTGGTTTCCACGGTGTGGCCCTGGGGCTCTCTTGCTTGAGATACATACACCTACTGCATGTGTCTTTAGGTCTCTGCCATAATAGAATCATAGAGTTGGAAGGGACCCAAAGCATCATCTGGTTCAGGAGTCACAGCAAGACTACCTGTCCAAAGAAACGTCACAATCATTAGCATAGCACCGACATTCTATCATGTATATGGAATGGAGATTCAGGTCCCTGTGCCTATTGAGTTATTTATCAAAATTTCCTCTGGGAGGGTGACTTCTAAGGGATCCCCTCTAGCCTCCGTGGTGAGAATCTTGTTGCCTCCATAACATTCCCCCAGTTTCTAGGCCCACATTCTCTGCAGGCCACCAGCCTCTCCCCGGCACTGACAGGAACTTAGTTTTAAGAAGACTTGAGAGCTGTGACAGACGGTAGGAAAGGACTCCGCATGTTTCTAGGCAGTAGAGAGGAGTGTGGGAAGAACGGGGAGAGATTCCAAGGGGCCCCCGTCATGGTCCACTCGCTGCCTCGGCAGCTTTCTGCTATGTGCCTGTGTGCTACATCCAATTTCCTGACTAAAAAGTGAGGCAACAAATATGAATATGTATTAACAAAGTCCTTGATTAATTGCGCTGTTCAGCGTGGATACATCTTTTAATGATTATTTCCCTTTTTAATTAGAATTTATCTCTCCCCTAACCACAGACAACAGGATTAGAAGAGGGACTTTTTATTCTGCCATCAATTCTTTCCCCTCCCTTTGATGCGACTGGCAGGATGCAGAGCGAAGCAGCAGCCTGTAATCTGCATTGTTGTGTCGTCCCCTCCACCCAAAATGCCGCCACTCTCTTTGGGTCTGCAGGGAAGCTGGGGTTGGGGGGGTTTTGGGGGAGGAGATTCCTTTCCCCCCTCCCTTCTCTTCTCATTGTTCCTTGCGTGGATTAAGCAGTGTGCAGACTTGGATGAGAGTCCACAGCTTCGTAGTATCAGGAGTTTTGTTTGCTCTCCTTTCAAAAAAGGAGGAGTGTTAAGAAGCTTCAGACTCAGGCGAGTTCAATTGATGACCCTCTTTGCCCTCAAGCACAAATGGAAGGAGCTTGGCTCTGACACAGACATTATCTGGCCAGCTTCAGATTCCTGGCTGATGGAGGCAGGTTGGTGGGGAATGTTGGACCAAGCAAGGAAGGGCGTTTGGAGGTGTGATCAAACACTTGGACTTTGATTTCTCCTGTTTAGAAATGTGCTGACCAAATGTCTTCTGCAGCAAAAGGAGGGCTTTGTTCCCTGATTATTTTATTCAAGCAACATATTTATACCATAACATAACAGAGCGTCCATGTAAACTTGCATCAATATTTTTTAAAAAGCCTTTAACCGCCTACAGAACCACTTTGGATGTTAATCCAATTAAGAGGCTGCCTTGTACAGAAGATACTGCTTTGGTTCACATAGCTCAATATGATTGTCTACACTGGCTGTCAGCGGTTTCAGACTGGGCATTCCTAGCTGTGCTTGACATTTCCAGATTCAGGAAGGCTGAATACCAGGGACAGGGAAACTTGTAACCCTCCAGATGTTGCTGGCCTAGCACACTGGCCATTTGTTGGCGAGTTCATATTTCACATGGCAGGGAATTGGGAAGACTAAGCAGACAGGAGAAGAGTTTTAGCTCATCAAAGTCTTGCAAGATGTCAAGGAGAGCAAAAGATCTCATAAGATTTGGGTGAGAACTTGCAAGCTCTGAGGGAAGGCAGGCAAGGAAAGACAGCCCAAGTGGGGCTTGTTAGCTCTGGGAGGAGGTGTGTGATTCCTCAATGGGAGTAGGCTCAGGTAGGATCAAATGCCTTGTCCATCCCAATCCCAGCAGGTATATAACAGGAAGACCGTCCTGGTCGCCATTTTGTGGAGGGAGAGACCTGTTTAATTGGGATATTGGCTGTTTTGGCGTGATATACCTGTGGTCAGTGCTATTTTTCCTAGAAAAAAATGTGCCAGAAATCATCACAAACACCTCCGTTGTTGACTTACAATGGCAACTGTACCCACCTGAGAGGTGCCGGAACTCACTTTCTGTGAGTTCCAGCTGAAAAAAAGCCTTGCCTGTGGTGATGTTTTGCTGGGTGCTGTCTCCCTCCATGTTCCCTACTTCTGTGTGTGTGTGTGTGTGTGTGTGTGTGTGTGTGTGTGTGTACGCCACTGGAATAGTCAGTGGCAGCAAATGCCTCTGAATTCCCAGTGCTGGGAATCACAAGTGGGAAGAGTTGCTGTTGCACTCAGGTTCTGGTTGTGGGTTACATTTGCGGCATCAGTTTAGCTAGTTTGAGAACAGGATGTTGGACTCGATGCTCCTGAACCAGCAGGCTCTTATGATGTTCTTAACAGAAAAAATGGCAGCCTTTTACTTGGATTAGGGCATACATTGTAATAGTTTCTCATTTGTTCCTCTGATCCAACTCCTTCTATAGGAGCCACTTTAATCTCCCCCCTCCCTCCCTCCATTCCCCTCTCCCCCTCCCTCCCTCCCTCCATTCCCCTCTCCCTCTCCCCAATTCTCGCACATCAATGTGAGAGGTACCTTCATCGCCAGTGTTCTCTCACCAAGGCTGTTGTGATTAAGCACTTAAATTGATTAATCAAATTTCCTGCAATGAGAACCACTGTCATTCATTAATCGGAGCTAGATTATAAATAAGAGGTGGTAGATATAAGCGGCAAACGTGTTGACAGACGCAGCGCATCACCTTGAATACAAATGGGCCCGGTGCAGCCAGTGGGTTCTCACTATAGGCAGCTTCTTCCCCACATATGAAATCAGATCCAGGTCATTCTAATGAAGAAATATGCTGTGGCTTTTGCCTGCGTGCAAATTGTGGGTTGCTCTCAGTCCTGCCAGGAGATCTGATGCTGACATGACATGTAGAACTCCACATGCTCCCACTTTGAGTTCATAGAAGGCTTGATACGGCTTGCTTTGCCCATGTCTGCACTTGGACTGGGGAGGAAACACCCAATTGGAAATGTATCACCGCTCTGCCCTTCCTTCCATCTCTGTGCAAAGAGGCTTGCAAGTGCAAAGACTCAAAACCAATTTGGAAGAGGCTTGCAGGTGCAAAGACTCAAACCTTCTGGGTGCTACAAAGCAGTTGAGACTGCAGAGAGTTCCCTGTTTTTTTCTGGTTTTGTATTATCTTTCTCTCACTTTGGGTGTTACTGTTGTTGTTTTAGCAATTCTTGTGTTGTCTAGATGGGGCTTCACTTCCTGTTTTGTTTTGCTTTTGCCCACATTTGGCCACAGTGCTACTGGATCTGATTGGCTGAGGTGGCCCAGCTGACTTGGTCTGACACAAATCAGAATCACACGAGTTCCCACAGCCAATGAGAATAAAGGGCTATGGACACCAATTAGACCGAGGAGTATACAGAAGGAGGGGAGGTTGCTAAGGAGAGCCAGCAGCACAATAACATCATTGACACTTGTTTGGTGTTTCCCCCCCACTCGTGTATCTCATGTGCTTTTTTTGAAGTGAATATTGCAATTGGAGAACATGGCAATTAGAGAAAGCCTTGTTTTCCATGCTGTGGTGTTGAACACTTTTTGCGTGTAGCTCACCTTATCGCTGTTGTTCTGGGCAGGTAGCAAGTGCCTCTTCTTCCTAATTTTATTATTTTTTTAGCCAAAGTCCAATCACAGTATATGCTTTAAGGCACAGCCATTGCATTGTAGCCTTGAGATGTCAATGCGTTTTAGGAGTGACTGAATGATGAAGGCATTGAAGATGAACAATTGAGCCCGTGATCTGGGATGTCAATGATGAGCGACATCTGAAGGGCAGCAGGTGTGGGAAGGCTGATCTAGTCCATCCTTCCTGCGGTGATCTCCCAGGCACTTTTAGATGGGCCACCAGCAGGGTGTGATGTTTCCAGGCACCCCATCATCACCACCATCTTCACTGGTGACCCTTGCTGATCTTCCTTAGCACCCTGCCTCTGAATGGAGGCGCTGTAGACCCATCTTGGCAAAATGTGCATCTCAAAGCTTTAAGGCAGCACATTGATGAACTCCAGAGGTCTTAAAGAGCGTTTCCAGCCCATTCGACAAGAGATCCTAAGTTAGTGATGCCCATTAACTTCAGTGGGTCTACTCTGATTAGCATATAGCTGCTTTATACTGAGTACATCCATTGGTCCAGCTTGCTCAGTATTGTATGCACTGACTGGCAGCAGCTCCCCGGGGTTTCAGACAGGAGTCTCTCCCAGCTGGGTAGCTCAGTTGGTTGGAAAATAGTGTTGATAGCGCTGAGGTTGCAGCTGCATATTCCTGCATTGCAGGGGGTTGGACTAGAATTCAGTCTTTCTCAACCTGTGGGTCCTCAGATGTTGTTGAACTACAACTCCCATCATCCCTAGCTAGCAAGGCCAGAGCTCAGGGATGATGGGAGTTGTAGTCCAACAACATCTGGGGACCCACAGGTTGAGAACCACTGGACTAGATAGATGCCACCGGGGATTGAACTTGGGACCTTTTGCATATACGGCAGATGCCCTCCCATTGAGCTATGGCCCTTCCCCAAGTGGAGCTGCCATAGGAATGTGCATCTCAAACCTTTAAGGCAGGCTTCCTCAAACTCGGCCCTCCATATGTTTTTTGGCCTACAACTCCCATGATCCCTAGCTAGCAGGACCAGTGGTCAGGGGTGATGGGAATTGTAGTCTCAAAACATCTGGAGGGCCGAGGATGAGGAAGCCTGCTTTAAGGCGACTTTTCCAGGCGAGAGGCGAGCTAGGGCCCACAGAAGCTGAGTTTCTCCAGCCCACTTTCTCTGAAGTCACCCACTATTGCCGAGAACTTGAATCGCAGAAGCTGGAGCTTGAAGTACGGCCGGCCAGAAAGGTCTGCACTGTCGACTTAGATGAAGGCAGAAGGTCCAGGTCCCCGTGAGCTATTGATATTACCAGGCCTGCCCTGCTCAGAGAGCTTACAATGCCTCCAGCCACAGGGATGAATGTTGCTCCTGCTCTGAACCCCAGGGGTTGGAGTGCCCAGAGTTGCAGGTGGACCACTAGGTGAATTCCCAAGTCCCGCGCTCCCCTCTCCCACTTGGGGAATAAATGGCAGCTCTGCTCTTCAGCTCCAGCTTCTGGAGGGCATGTCAGTAAGTGGAGGGAGCCTTGCCGAGATTAAAGCTATCATTTCTCGCTGTGCAGCCTGCATGCCTCTGAGTCGTAAATATTTAAAGAACTCTTATTAAAAGAATTACCGTCGTAAAAGTTTAAGTGTTTGATAGATGAAAACCAACTTGGGTGTTGCTCTCATGCTTTCGGGAGCAGTGGGAAGGGGCTGCTCTGGAGGTGAGGGAGCAAGTCAGGCTTGTGGGAAAGGAAAGTTTTTGCTTTTTGCAGGCCTTCTTTCAACTGCCCTTATAATTAAATTGGCCTCTCCTTTCTTGGCACAGCGCCCCCTTCTGGCCTTGTCGATGTCTCCACCTCAGGCCCTTCCTCCACGCAGGAATGAAGGTATCCCCGCAGGGAGAAAAGTCCTTGATGTGCTACATTTCTGCGCTTGAGTTTGGTGCATTCCCAAAATTCAACATCTTCCCTGAGGTTTGAAAGTGATGACCTTCAAAGAGGATTGGTCAGATTCCATACTCTCCAACATTTCTCCGATGAAAATAGGGATGTTTTCTTCCATAATAATAATTTTATTCTTTATACCCCGCCCATCTGACTGGGTTGCCCCAGCCACTCTGGGCAGCTTTCAACATCTATAAAAACATTTAAAAAATTAAACATTTAAAAATTCCCCTATACAGGGCAGCCTTCATATGTCTTCTAAAGGTTGTATAGTTACTTAGCTCCTTGGCTTGGGGGTGTTGGAAAAAGCCCTGGGGGGTGCCTGCAAGCCCCCAGAACTCTGAGCGTCCTCTGGTACGCACAGCTCTAGAAAAGGCAGCTCCCTTCTCTTGCAGTGCGCTTCTAGCGACATGCATCATAATGATATATGCACACTAAGTTTCTGGCAGAACACAGCAAGAAGCATGAGACATCGTATAGCTAATCTACTATTTATTTACACAGTATGTACAGACAAAAGGATAATGGCATCCGTTCTCTCCAGCTCCGAGAGAAACAACAGGCACAAGTAAAAGCAAAAGTACAGTGGTACCTCGGGTTAAGAACTTAATTTGTTCTGGAGGTTCGTTCTTAACGTGAAACTGTTCTTAACCTGAGGTAGGCTTTAGCTAATGGGGCCTCCTGCTGCTGTTCTCATCCTGAAACAAAGTTAGCGGAGTCTGTAACCTGAAGCGTCTCTAACCTGAAGCGTCTATAACCTGAGGTACCACTGTACATTGCAAAGTACATACAGCGGAAGAGATAAGACTGTCTTCCGTTTCCCACACTCTTCTCGGACTGGCATCTGAGCAATCACAAATGCAGCGTCGGAGGAGTGAAATTGTTAAAAGGGGGTTTCATAACTCCATGCCCTCCAGCATTTCTCCGATGAAAATTGGAAAAGCGGGACATTCAAGGATCAAATCAGAAACTTGGGACAGCTTCTGTCAATCCGGGACTGTCCCTGAAAAATAGGGACACTTGGAGGGCCTGCAAATTCATGAAGGAGAGGTCTATTAAAGTCAGAGGCAGCAATGCTTCTGAATTCCAATTGCTGGAAGCCACAGGAGGGGAAATGGAAGTTTTTGTCCCACAGGCATCTGGTTGGCCACTGTGAGAACAGGAAGCTGGGCTGGATGGGACATTGGCCTGATCCAGCAGGCTGTTCTTACGTTCCTATAGTGTGTTTCTATGTCAGGAAGCCCTCGGCTTCACACTCACCAGAAGGTCAGGACTAGCGAGGTGCAGCTTCCAGCTCAGTAAAAAGGCCAGATGGTGCAGAATGGCCCTGGCAGAGACCTCTTGCCTGCTGGGAGCTTCCATCCTAGTGCCTGGCTGTTGGAAGAGCCAAGGGAGGGAAGAAGGGGAAGGTGATGAGGAGGAAGGGGGTGCCTGGGAGCCGAGGCAGGTCTGTGAGGACCAGGCCTCCCCGCCTCCCCCTCGGCCTGAGTGCCAGGCCCCTGAAAAATAAAGATTGATGGAGCCTGCTTGCTTCGGCCTGGCGTTGGCTGGGAGTCAGGGGGGCTTTATAGCGGCACGTTGGCTGTTCTCACTGAATTTTGATTAATGGAGCGGGCTGGAACTGCTGATGTCTCCCAGCTCCTTTAGCTGACAGGAATGAGGGTAATCTGGTGTTTAAATGGATTTGGGGATGTGTCTGTGGTTTTAGCCTCCGAGTCCTGAAGGGATGGCCATCTGCTGCATGATAGGGAAGCTCTGCATGGCTCAGAGGCTCTGGATTTCGGGTCCGCCAAAGACCAATGACACGTTTATAAAACAGGAGGTTCTGTGTCTCAGCGTTCTTAGGGTTCTGTTCTGTTTTAAAAGACATTTCTTTTCAGATTTGGCTGGAGCAGAGTGTGAAAGCTGCAGATCAAAGGCCTCTGGTCCCCTCCCTACGCTAGTCTCTCCTTTTTAGACCAGTTAGCCGTACATGTTCCCCTGGAGGGATTCCTTCGCAAACACAGATGGGGGGAAAAACCTGCTCCTGAGTGTAATGTCTTTTGCACACCAGCAACCTGTTTGGCATTTTGATGATTTTGAGCGCATAGTTCCCTTGCCCTTTTAGAAAAAGGTGCAACGGAGGCAGTAAAAGAGGGTCCTCAAGCATCGTGCAGATGGCATGAACCCATTCAGCCTGGGTTTTATAAACAGCACGAATTGACAGGGTCGTTTTGCATGCGGCTGGACAATCCCCAACTCCCAATTGCATTGTGCTCCCCATGGCTGATAGTTGGGCTTTTTCAAGGAAAGGCAGGGTGAAAATGCATTAAATAAGTCATGGGGAAACTGTGGCCCTCTAGGTTTTTATGAACTGCAGCTTCCATCATTCCTGATCAAGCTGAAGAATGAGGCTATGTCACTCTGTGACTGTCAGGACATGACAGTCATGGTCATCGGGGCATGCTGACACCTTCTAAAAAGCTCTGAGAGGGCCATGGTGAAGTGGCAACCCATCTATTGTCCAAAATAGTTTGAAGTCCATTTCGTGATATCAGTGTCATCATTTTTGACCTGGCAATATATAGTGGCTCATGGGGTGTGTGTGTGTGTGTGTTGTGCAAGCATCGCAATGTGGGGGGAAACCGTGAAGCCAATGTCTCTACATAGCTTCATCTTTATTTCGGAGATCTCAGTGTTTTGTTGATGATATATCACATTGCTGAAAACCAGATTTTGCCCAGACGTAGTGGGTGGCTGAAGCAGGATTGGCATGGCTTGCCCTGATCACAGCTGTATCCCCAAGCACCTGTGTTTCTTGCAAATCATGTAGTTGGTGTTGTCCGAAGTAGTAGCAGAGTACCTGCAGTAAACACCACTTTAGTAACCTGTTAGGCAGGTATTTTATTGTATTTTGGAGTTTCTGCCTTTGAAGGGTTTGACTTCCAGTGAAAGAGGAAGCCAGGATGCACATCAATCTGTTGGCTTCTTAAGACACAATTCTGGAAGGCTGTCGCATCAAGAGAAGGCTGGGAGTGGGGTAGAGAGGGGGCTACCAGACCTTACAAATAAGCTGCATTTGAAATGTGTATGTGTCTCCCCTCCCTGCCAGAAAACACCGGGGTGCCTTGGTAAGCATCATGGAAACAGGAGGGACTAAATTACCCGTCCATGCCTTAGGGGGCTCGGAGGCCCACCAGTTCCTACATTACACTTGCAAAATTCAATACTGCTGTATTTGAAGCCTGACTGCTCATATTTTAAAGCAGTTGCATTTTGTTGCAGGCGACAGAAACCCTGTTATACATCTAAGAAATGTGTACCCCATGCAGCCGACACGCCATTACATGTTTTAAAACGCAGCAGGTCCATCTTCTCCAAGCCTCATCCATAACGGAGCCAATAAGGTCCAGGACCAAGGTTATGAGCAGCTCCTGATTAAACCCAGTGACAGCCTTTTAATTTAAGGGACCTGCATCTCGTGGCTCAGGTTAGGGCCTGGCTCCCCTTCCTCCCTGGAAGTTTCCTGCTTTTGTACAGGATGTTGTTATTCCCCAAGGAAAACTCCTGGAACAATCGGAGGGATAAATGGGGCTGTGTTTATACTGCAATTTCCCCAGAGCATAGAAGACTTTGAATTTGTCAAGAGATCCAGCTTCCTCACCTTTCTTTCTTTCTTTCTTTCTTTCTTTCTTTCTTTCTTTCTTTCTTTCTTTTTCTCTCCCTCTCCCCCTCTCTCTGGATAGCTAAGTTGCTTAGAGTGTGGTGCTGATAATGCCAGGGTTGTAAGTTTGATCCCCATATGGGACAGCTACATATTCCTGTGTTAGATGGGTTTGGAATAGATGGTCCTCATGGTCCCTTCTAACTCTTCTATTCTTTTCTGTTCTGTTCTCTCCTAAAAATAAGTTTCTAGTCCTTATGGCCATGAAGTCCTTGTTCCGCACATTCAAGTCTTTAGCCATTAGAACGTAAGAAGACAACCTAAGGAGAGTCTGGCTGCTGGATCAGGC